ATCCCTTTTAAATCCCGAAATTATTCATCAAATGCATCAGGGATTTCATATTTTCATTTTTATTGGCTCAAATTTTTTTTGGATTTTTGAGTTTTTTCAGGATTAATCCTAAGTTTTCACGACTTGCTTGAAACAAAGTATTCTTCATTACAAATTATTGTTCAAACTCTACGTAACATGATTCAAAAAAGTTGTTAAAACAATGTTTATTTCATAGAATAAAGGTTAAGTTCCTTCCTGGAATAACCTCATGATTTATTTTAGTCAATTTGATCAACTTTTAAGAGTTGTTTTAATGCCATGTAGGAAGGGAATGAAAGGTTGATACTCATCAATATTTCAATTCTTATATTCCTTATTTTCAGACGACGTAAGTAATTGAACTTTTAACTTAACCATTGCAATGTCATCAAAATTAGCTTTAAATGCAGTGCAAAAGATTGCCTTAGCTAAAATATTTAAATTTAAGGAGCAAAATGTTTAATTGTTTTATGAGAAAAAGAAGGGATTTGCTTGACCCGTGGCAATGCTGCTGAAACTCGTTAACATTTCATGTTCTAAACTTGCACTATCGAAATTTAAGAAAATCTGAAAGAAATCTTTAAATCGTCAAAAAGCAATAAATGTTAGATATCCAAAATAAGTCACTAAAAGTAGATGTTTAAACGCAATTTTCAGCACAAACATCACAACAAAATAAAATAATTGGATGGAAATTTCCCATTTACAAAACATGAAAAGAAGACAGCAACACAAGCGAAAATAAGCTGAATAAAACATCAATTCGCAACACCTCATCAACATATAAATGCTCAATTTTCTCCCGAATCATACAGTAAGAATGTCTCATCCTTTTGCTATGCTTCATATTTATATTATATTATACAGTGGAAAGAATAAAGGAAAAAGAAATATATGACAACAGTCAGATGAGAGAACAAATATTATTGCTTGTTTATTTATCATGAGGATTTACCGTACGTACGTTTTGCTTAGAAGTACCTTGCATTAAAAAAAGGAACAAACGACAGGGAAAAAAAGTACTGAAAACGATGATGCTAAATGGAATGAGGTAGATGAGATTTATACACACATTTTCCAGCCATTTCTTGCTCATAACACAAAAATATTGCCAAGCTGCTGTTCTTGTTATTATTTTTGTCTGTCTCCCTACTCTCGCCGTGTATTAATGTTGTCGCTGTCGCATAACAATGTCAGGTTTAATGTTGTTTTTTTTTTTAAAAAGCTCATGTTTTTTCACAGTTCCTTTTATTGCTTTTTTTGTTCTTCTCAAAATCCACTCCGGCTTTTGAAGTCACTGCGTGTATATCACAAAACCTATATCACTATATTAATCAAGTCTTTTTCGTCTTTTGACAGCTCTGACTAAGTTCTCTCAATTTTTTTCACACCACGAAGATTTATTTTATTATCATGGACACTGACAAAAAAAAATACTTTTAACATCCATCGGACATATTTAAATAAATTTATTTTGGGTACTATTCATACTTTTTGTTGTCGTTCTAGCCTCAAACATTTGGAAAGTTTTTCATTTTCTTGAGACAATTTTGGTTCACTGTCTTATTATTTATGTTTGGGTTAGGGAATGAATTCTTTTGTAATTTTTTTGTATTTTTTATGAATGAGGCCAAGCAGGTTCTCTATGCTGGAGCAACTTGGATACTCCTCATCTTGGCTAAGCATATGATAATTGTAGACATCCCCATAACAGCTTTATGTGTATACTACTGTAAAACAAGTCGAATACGATGAGAATCGAACCCGCGACCTCAAAAGATGTGACTTCTGATACCTCGATCAGAATTCTTCTCAGTCAGCCACTGATGTATTTATTTCACTTCGGCTATTCGTCACACACATTCAACTAGCTTGAATGAGAGCTTTATTCTCAAGCCTATCTACTCTGGTTATGTTCTTCGAGCCAAATTTACAGTCATGAGTCATTGTTTCTAAATTGACAAAATCGTTGTCTTGACGACAGTGAAGGTAAGACGGCAATGATGATATGAATCTAATTGGTTTTTTTTAAAAGCTTGTTAAAAACTATTTAAACTTTTAACAGAAATAATTTGTTAACAGACGCCCATCAGTGCTGAAAGTAACAACAGCTGAATTTTTGGATGGTAAGAGATCTCGAGGTAGACCGAAGAAACTCATGGAATGGATGTGTAAGCAACGATGCAAATGTGCTAGAAATTAGAAACTGGCAGAAGATGTGCAAGGATAGAGCCAGCTTTAAATGAACTCTGAATGCTCTGAATGGGCCCACGTGCGCCTTAGCCAAGGAAGTAATTAAGTAACAGAAATAATTTAATGAGAAATCGAAAAATGTTGAAAAATCTCTTCAAAACTTGCCTTCAACCATCTTCATTTAAAGTTTCGAGACGATCAAAAACTTGAAAAGTGTAAAGATTTAAAATTTTCCCAGAAATGTTATTTCAATTAAATGTTTGAGGCTTCTCCCTACCACTCCAGCTTTTAAATTACTTTCTATGAAAGCAAAGAGTGGCATGTGAAAATTAAAAGAAAATATTTTTTGAAAATAAAATAAAATGAGACTTAATCTGATTATATATTGTGGAAAATGATAAGTAGACTTACCGAAAAAGCTTTCTCCCTTTTTTCCGACGGATTAAAACAATCAAAAAATAACAAAATAAGAATTCTTTGATGACAAACAAGATTAAAATAATTTCTTATGGATGTTGTCGGCGAATATAAAGAAGTGTTGATGCTGAAAAATTCATTAAATTATCTAATTAAAATTAAAATGGAAATCATTAGCAGGAAAAACTTCAAAAATTTCCACATAAAAATCAACATTATAATTTTTCTCATTAAAGTTCCGGTTCTTGTGGATGACGCGTATCCTATTAAAACGTTATTATTCTTGAAAAAAGAACATCACACACAAAAATAACAAAAGCACTTTATATGAATCCAGACGAAAAATCTCCAGTTTCAAACATTGTTGAGGCTGGGAAAATTCTAAAACGACTGATAAGCATTTGAAAAATGTTAAAGAAAACAAGGAAGGTAGAAATGAGGAAGAGGAAACTTTTCCAGCCATTAAAGCAATTCACATTGAATGAAGTTATTTTTCTCTTGAAGTACAATTTTATGCTGATTTTCTGGAAGGAAAATGTTGGTGCTTAATTTTATTGTATCTAATATTAAGGAATAGAAGGTATTGCGACATATGTAAGCGAATATACCAGTGTAAGAGGGAAGACTCTCTGGTCCAATGGTTAGGCAACTGAGCAAAAAACTGTAAATCTGTTAGGATGTGGGTTCAATTCCTTATAGAAAAAGCCAAATTGATATAACCAGGATTCGCACAGTGTTCGGATCTGAAATGTATGGTATCACACTTTCCATATTGGAGTGATACATCCTGACTGTTTTTAAATCAATTCATCAGTACCGCACCCTTAGCTAGGTACGAACATTTGGGAATTCCCTGAAAATGCTTATCCTAGTCGCTACACACATGAAGTGATCAAACGACAAGTTAATGTATCTTAAACCAACTTGTACTTGAATCCAAAATTTCAAAATTTAAGTTCAACCTTATTCACAATTTGCATATCTTGATGGTAGTTCCACTACTTAATCTACATATCTCTGTAACAAACAAATTTGATTCCAAGCTTGAATTTTTATTTCCTTTCCAACAATTTGCGCTCGACACTTGCCTTCAACAATCTTTCACTCCTTTCCTTCCTTCTCTTTGATAAGTATAAGTCCACTGAATGAAAATGTGTTCATGAATATGTCTATGTCTGTATATGATGTGGTTTCTGGTGCATTCTTTCATAAAATAGAATAATGCATGAAAATAGAATCAGATAACAGTAAAGAAGAATAAAAGATTTAAAATATATTTCTGAAAAATAAAAGTTTCTACCAAAAGCACATACAAATACACACACACATACTCACATCCATCCAGATTAACAATTCTTAATTAAATAATTTAAAAACCACACGTTCTTGCTTGAATGGAATCAATTGTATTATATATCTACGTCTATATACATAATTCACATCTAATGTATTATTTGGCATTCGAGAATGAAATGGAGACTTGGCCTATCTTGAAAATAATTTAGATACATTCTAGACATTCTTGTTGCACATTTTTGGAATAAAAGCAAAAACTTTATCCTTCCTTTTTTTATTGTTATGAAAGAATGCTTTTGGTTTCACGTAATATATGGATATAAGTATATTCATATAGTATAGAGATAGTAAAAGAGTTTGGATATGTGACATTAAATTAGGGGTGGGGAGAGGGAGAGTAGACGCAAGGTGTGGGCACTTTTTCTTTTTGTCTATTTTGAATTAGAATGTTTGTGTTTTGGTTATAAAAAATAAAAATATTTGGAATAAATCTCGTATCTGTAAAGACAAAACATAAACTTAGGGGCTTAAAACAAGAGTTAAAGACAGTAATGGCCAACCCATGTGTCACGGCACGTTAGTGTGTCATGAAAAACTATCGTACACCCCCCAAATCATATGCTGTGTGCGGTTTTGATCATGGATTACCACCAAATGCGCCGTGTCACAATAAAGGTTGAGCTCCACTGGTTTAAAGAACCAAAAAGCAAAAAGTACCCACACCTTTTCAAGATATACTCAATGTAAGTCTCAATTTCAACACATCATTTTTCTTTCTTTTCAATTCTATTCATTTTTTTATTAGTTTTCATTAAATTATATTTTATATATTTTCAATTCTATTTTTTTCATCAATTTTTTTCTTTAATTTAATTAATTTTATTTATTGATTATTTGACTCATTCTCTTGCACATGATGGGGAGATTTTTTTTTCTGTTGTGAAGCACTTAATATACAATACTATATGCAATTTTAATTTATAATTATAATAATAATGACACTTGACAAGTGTGCTACAAGAAATGATAATAATCATAATAATTTATAGATTTCAATAACATAAAATCCATTATCACCGGAATAACAATAACAATTTTGTAAATGACATAAGTCCAATCATCCACACATGATGGAATGAACTTTCGGCTGCACGACTCGTTGAGTAAGCCACATTTAAATGTGGTCTATTGATGTATGGATCACCACCCGGAATCTCGTTAAGTTCAGGATTAAATGTGACAAATTCTAATTGCGGTTCCGTTGATGTTATCTCCATTGTTGTTGGTTCAACTGTCGTGGTTGTTGTGGCTGTGGAAAAAATCAACAAAAAAAATTTATTTATTCTTGTATATAAAAAGTGTAAAAGTTAAATGCTGAGAGAGGAAAAATATTTTATATGGAATGAATTAGAATGACAATGACAGTGTAACAAACATTAACATTGTTACATGCAGAAACGAAGTCAATTGTCGTGGGAATAAAAAAAAACTTTTCCCTTTTCATTAGCAATTTTTGTTTGGAGGGAATGAAAATGTTTGATTATTCACTTTGGTACGAGGGGGAGAGGGGGGGGGGAGTTGATTTAAGTCTAGCTGGGACCGGTTTCTAGGTCTATTCGGGCATCAAAGGGCAAAAATGAAATTCGATGTAAAGGATATAAATAGAATTAATCTTATACTCGGTTAAGGTGCCCCGGGTAGCCCTAGAAACCGGCCCCTGTTCTGATAAATGAGTAGAATAGCTCATTCATGATGGAGGGGGTTGTGATAAAAATCAATCTCTGGTAACTTAATCCTTATACGTTCATTAATCATGTTCATGTTTATGGCTCCTTTGTCACAAAATGTGGATGTTGAAAATATCGTTTTGTTTGCATGGTTACAAAACTTAGATGCCATTTATGAACGGCCTCACTAATGTTGTTAAAAACCCATAAAATGCGTTCCATCCCCAACATCACCAACAACTTTAATACTTGCAAAAATTAAACTTTTTCCTCTCTTGCATGTGTCATAAACTCATCATCAGGAATATCTGCTGCTGCAAGGCTTTCGCACTTGACAGTCGGTTTTTGTGGACGATGTCTCTCGAGGATTTCGCTCTGTTGTGCAAAGTTACAATTTTTTTTTATGTACAAAAGTTGTCAGAATAAACGTGGGTTGAAAATCTTTTCGTAAATCATGCTCGAGGATGAATTTTATAGCAAAATGAAAATTTTTGGATTTTTAAAAATATTCTCCTTATTGAAAATGCATACAAAGGTTGGAAATTTCTTGAGGATGTTATGAAATTATCTACATAATGTTGTTCTTTTTTCTATCGTGATAATCGCATTATAAGCTGAATATTTAATCCTCCTCAACATATTAAATTATTAATGATTTCCTTGAATTTCACACAAACGTATCTTTTAAGCCCACAAAGGAAAAATATCCACCGGCAGAAAATTTATGCACAAAAATAAACAGACCTGAATTAAAAATCAGAAGCAAAAGGAAATATTCAACACAAATATAAATTTTTTTTCGTGCATGTTTAATGGCTGGAAGAATTTTATACAATCCACGTGATCAAATTACTGCAGATTCCTGAGTAAGAAGCCCTTTGGCTGAATATTTGTAATTTTAGCATCAATTATTTGGAAAATGTTTATGCTTTATTTGATTTAAAATAAAACATTCACTTTTGATGTCCATGGGAGGGAGGCGGTGTCTGCAGCTAAGAAATGAATATTTTTGATGGAACATTTTGTGACAGCCCTAGCCTCTGTCATTATTAAATTTATTAATGAACGTCATTAGCGAACAAACCCCAAGAGACATGCACGATGTCAATGCACTACTTAGCAAATTCAATAAAATCGACAGAACTTTCCAACTAAAGCTCTTCCAAATCCCTCAAACGAACAATTCTCAGAATTTCCACAATAAATTAACAAATTTTTACATCCCACAAAATCCAAAAGTGAGAAACCCTAACAAACTTCCCACATTCATCTCCTTTTATTCCCACTAATCCATCGCATTGTTAAAATTTTAAATCATATATATTTTTTTACCTTGTGTTGTACGCAGCGTTGTAGTCCGAATTGTTGTCGTTGTTGTTGGTTTTGGTGTTGTCGTTGTTGTTGTCGTGGGAATTTTAATTTCTAAATATTTTTTAAATGATGAATTGGAAACAAAAAGTTATAAAAATGAGACATAAGAATGCTTTTTATAAGATAATTGATAATAATTAAATTTATAAAAATGTATGACTGTTGAGAGGATGTAGAACTGAAATGATAATGACGGCTTGCTTATTTTTCATTCGGTCTGGTTTGTATTTATTAATATGTCACTTGGGGATATTAATGGAGTTCTAAAGGGAGGTAGAGAGTGGATATTGAACCTCTGAAAATGTGTGTCACTGAGATGATTGGGATATTTTTAAGAATGATTTATAACTTAAATGGATTTAAACTGGATGAGGGGCTTAAAAAAAGGTTATGTGCTGGATGAAGAATTTTTGTTTATTTAAAATTAAGTATTTTTTTTTAAATTAATAAAAATTAAGTTTATTAAAGGTTTGTGAGAAATCTAGTTTAAAATTAATAAAACTGCTAGATTTGTGAAATTAAGTCAATGTATATCTACAATCTGAAGCATCAATAAAGATTGAAGTGTGATTAGATTGTGTCTAAGTATAGAGCTGTCTTTAGACGTTCTCTAAGCGCGGCACTGGGCCCACGTGCGCCCCATCCAAAAAAGTAAAGTAAGTAAGTATGCGTTTAAGTTGGGGTACTTCGTTTAGCACTAGATACCAGCCACTAGGGAGTCTAAGGTAGCATTTATGTTGTTTTTTAAAGACCTTTACTTGTATGTAATGAAGGACCTACAAATTATAAGTTTGGTCAAACCATATTCATTTAGTACCTGTGCTACTCACTTGATTAGTCCCAAGAATACCCCCCAAAAAAACATATCTAAAACTAGATACGAAGAATTCCTCAAAATCAAAAAAAAAATTCTAAAATACTCCAGAAAATGTGACAAAATTAAATAAATTTCCATCACAAAATCCCCTCATTAAATTACAGAAAACTTCTCCGTTCTTGTAAAATCATCCACCCAATTACTCTCTTACATGTAATTTTCATCAATAAAATTAATAAAATCATTAGATAATCCACAGTAAATTGCCTTCGCACAGATAATAAACGGCCTGTTTCACTAAAGTGGATTATCCTCAATTTCGGATTATCCACTTCAGTTTTTTGGAAATATCGCCAGACGCTTAAGGTTATTAAGAGATCTAATGTGTGATCTAGCAAGAGTACTTTGCTACTTAAATCAACATATACTTAGAATTTTTATATCTTCACTAGTTTGAGAATTATAGCAAAAATTGAAGTTAATCTACTAGATTTGGCTAGGAAATTGAATAATTGATAGTTCTTAACGAAAAGTAAAAGTTTAAAGTATACAGAAATTTCAGGCATAGTTCACTCTATTATAATCCAAAATTAGAAATACCACACCTCCCATAAAGTTTAAGATATTTCCAAAAAACCGAAGAGGATAATCCGAAATCGAGGATAATCCACTTTAGTGAAACAGGCCGAAAGTGAGTGTAAAAAAATTGCGAGAACAAAAAAAAATGACGATAACGAGGCACTTACCATATAGACGTATTGTGGAATTAGCACGTCCCATCATGTTGGATGCTATACACGTATATATGCCAACATCACTCTCGCTAAAATTTGATATTCTCATTTTTAATGATGTTTTATAGTATGAGTTAAAAGTCTCGCTAATATTATATTTTTCACTCTCTTGTAGAACATTTTGGAGCGGATTTTCGTACGATTGTTGAAAGCTTTTGCCTAATGGCTCTTTGATCCAATAGCTTACGGTTCTAGGAGATGCCTCGATTGAGCAATCAATATCAATATGTGAATTCTCTAGTACGTGAACCGATCTTTCATTTAATATTGAGACATTTGGTGCAACTAGTATAATTTAAGGGGAACAAAAATAGAACAATATACAGCATAAAAAAAACTATGAAAAATGACTACACAAATATTCACTTACAGTTCACAATCAAATGAATCATTTTGGACACTGCAGGTGGCACGTCATTTTTCGCAATGCACAAATATGCGCCCATTTGTCGTCGATCGACATTATGGAAGCTTATTAGTTCACCCTCAACTGTATCACTGCGACGTGTTTTATTGTTGTTGACTTTTGTTATTATCGGATTACCGTCATCTCTGCGCCATATGATTCCTACATACGTACATACGTGAATGAATGGAATGAATTTATGTATGAGAGAGAAAGAGATGGTTAAAAAAATACATCAAATGATACATTCAAAAGTTCAACGATTCACATAATCTTTATCCATATGTGTGGATATACAGAGTATCAGGGGGAATGTTAACTTATATGACTATTTTTTGGAAGTAATTAGTGATTGAAACTAGTAGATTAAAGCAAAATTTAAGTGCTATGCCTCGATTGTGTAGTGATCAATTGATTTACATTCATGGAACAAATTATTTGACGTGTGGCTTTGGATCCAACAAAATTCAAAGTAAAGAACTAATCAAAATGACTAGTTTAGAACTCTTGATATGCCGATGTATTGAAAGGTGGGAATCAAACCTACGTCTTCACAAAAGCGGTTTGTAAATATTTGGTCGATTGCCTATCTATTCGCCAACACAGGTCTTGATATTACTATGGCAGATTCTTCTATTTCTGTAGAATCAAGCTTCCAATCTTCAAGTAGGTTTTGATTAAATTCAGGCTCTCGTTTCAATTTTCTGTGGGCGTGACTTGAAACATTTCAGGTCCATTTTGACAATATTCCATTATAAGGTAATCTTGTAGCTATCTTTTCTATTTCTTCTGATCCATTCCTTAATCGAACGTTACCCAAATGCCTAGTTATGATTTGATCTCGTACATATTGTTAAACACCCTGATACCATCTATGCTCAGACACGATTAAGAGCAATTAAGTTAAAAATGTTAAATTGTAGTCCTCAAAAGCTATTAAGTCATCGAAACTAGTTTCATTCCACGCCAACTGGCATTCCCCCTACACATTCCATACGACAACATTTATATTATGTTTTTTTTTTTTATTTGACGATGGAAATGGTTACAAAAATGTCTTTCGACAATGAAACATACGTTCCCATTGTAAAGCAATATCACATTTAAAAAGAGAGCATGTATGAGATCAACGGATTTACTTACTCGGCTGTGGATTTCCACTTGCAGCACAATATAGTGATGCATTCTGACCCTCAGTAACTGTAATGTCTTTCGATGACTCTGTATCCAATATGTCGGGCGGTACTAGAAATTGATACATCGAAAAAGTGGAAGAAAGAATGAAAATAGAGGGAAGGTATACATATGAGCACATAAAGTTCAGAATATCGAGAAAGCATTTGACATTTTAATTGGCTCTGACATACAGTGTACATCGATGCATCCGATTTGTTTTTTCAATGGTGTTGTATTTATTTGGCACCTGAAATATAGCAGGAGCAGCAGCAACATGAACATCAGGATCAGACGGATGTGGCAAAGAGAAGAAACGAAAAAAATATAGCAATGATTAAATGTCAGTATTGATAAATTGTAATTGGTGTGTGGATGAGCAACGTATGAAATTAGATTAGGCGTATTGAGGGAGCAGCATAGAGAAAAATCAGTCTGAATAATAAATTTTATTTCCTTACATGTAGCATCCTCGGTCTGCCTCACGAATATTGTTGATTTTTAAACGCCATACTTTCATTTCCTCATTTATTACACTATAACGTGAATTATGGGTTACGACACGTCCTTGAAGTGCTAATACTGTTTGATCTGCCGCTCGCATCCATCCGACTTTGAAATCGCCAAGATTTGCTACAAAACAACTCAACACAGCTTCACGTCCCAGCGATACACTTATATTCTTTATTGGCGATGTGAACGATGGCTCACGATCTCCACTGATGTTTTGCATCTCTGAATTGACTGCAAATTGAAAGAGAATGAAATCAGATTATGTTAGCTACGATGAAGATGGAATGTTATGTTCAGATAGTGAATAAAAAAAATTGTTTACAATAGTTTTTGCAGTATGGCGAGATTGAAGTTGTTTATCGCATCAAATTCCATTGGAAATATTTCTATTATGTCATGGTCTGGTTGAAGTAAAGCAATCAGTGTCAAATTTGCTTGGTTTATTAATATTGAAGGGGAAACATGTGCATTGGATAGAATTTGTGTGCTTGGATGAAGTTTTACGCGTTAGAGTGGTAAGATTTGTTTACAATTTTTTTGCGTCTTTGTTTTGCATAAGCAGCTAAGTGGTCATTCATTTATGACAACCATCATTTAGAGCAGTGATGGTCAAACCCAATGTTAGCAAAGAACTGAGTCCGTTACAAACAAAAAAAATTCAAAATTTTTGCGCGGTATTTTTTTAAAATTTCAAAATAAGAAAGTCCGTTACTTTTTATTTTTTTTAAACTAGCTGTTTTTTAAAGCATAAACATTTAAGGAATGCAATTTCATCACGGCGATTATCTTAATCATAAAAACTAATAGGAATGTTCACTAAAATTACAAATTACTTGAAAAATAATAATTCACAACGGATTTTTTTAAAAATAAGAACTTCGAAGATTCGATTTTCGAAAAATAAGAACCTCAAAAATTTGAAGTTCGAATAATAAGAACTCAAAAGTTTCTGTTTGCTAGCATTGGGGTCAAACCATAGCACACTAGTGTATCGCAAAAAAAAATCGACGAAGACCACGAATCATGTGTGGTTTCGGTCATGACTTACCACTAAGGTGTGCCGTATCACAAAAAAGGTTGGTCACCACTGATTTAGAGGGGAATGGGTTTATGGTTTTATGATATGGGGAAGGTGGTCTTAATATCGATTTTAATTTGATGTCATAATTGAACGACCTTAAAATGAAAATAAGGCTCTAAAGATGTCCCGCAATTTATGAATACTCCCTTGTTATCCCTTTACATCTCCCCAAAGAACATAAAATCCAAAATTTCAATGAAAAATTGACAAATAAAATTTTTATCTTCATTATTTTTATAAAACAACCCAAACTTGTTGCTAAAAGCATCTCTCATCATTCAAATTTTTTCCATTTTATGTACATTACCCAAAACAACAAGCCTAAAACAATCTTATCTAAATCAGGGGACAAACTTAATTCAGTTAAGGTATTAAAGTCATTAATTTGTGATTATTTAAATCATTAGCGTTAAAATGAATGGTTAAGTAACAAACAAGGTTCGTTCATTGAGACATTCACTCTTCCAACTCCACTCGTGCGTCAATAAAAAGGATCTGATCTCCACAGCAACAGAATTTCTTCTTCATTAATTTTTATGTATAAAAAATATCAAAATATATCTTTGTGCATGCACATACAAAAAAAAAGTATATAGAATTTTAAAATTATAACCCATCTCACAATGAAGTGCTCAACGGTAGGAAAAAAATATTTTTTTGCCTCATCCTATCTCACAGACGATTGGAATTTTAGCAATTAATTTTATGGATAATTCTCTGGTGAAAATGAATGGATGGATAAAATGGACTATGGTTGAGCTATAAAATGAACCGTTAAACATTTCATCATTAAATATTTTACAGTTCTGTGCATTGTTCCGGGCTCCTGAGCCTCACAAACCTTTCCGGAGTTGAAATCAACTCAGCTTTTTGAGAAATTTTCTCTCTCTTTCTCGCTTTTTCCATTTTTATTCATTGTTTAAAAATTATGTTATTGTGTTTCAGTTTTGGATTTAAGTTGAGAGGGTGGTTGGAACATTTGCTGGAAGATTAATGAGAGTTCTGGGAATAGAGCGCATTTTTATTTAATTTAGAGCTTTTTAAAGTTCTCCTTAGTTTTCTCTTGAAGTTTATTTTTGGATGATTTGAATTAAAGAAAGTAGAAGAGCCTCATATTTAGCTTCTATAGACTTGAATTGAATGAATTGGTAAGATGGTTTTAAAGGGTTTATGGAAGAAATTTTCAAAAAAAGGGGTCTTAAGGTGAAAAAATCAGGAAATCAAAAAATTTAAAAATCAGTGATGTCCAAACTGTGTGCCGCCACACACTAGTGTGCCGTAGAAATTTTTTGGAAATGACACAAGCCACACGCTGTGTGGGACTTCGTCATGGCTTATTCCTAAGGTGTGCCGTAGCTCAAAAAGTTTGGACATCACTAGTGAAAACAGTGTGGTGCAACAGACTCTATCCTAATTGAATCACAGTGCTTTCAGCTCAAAGTTTAGGCCCTTTTTACGATTTATTTTTTAAAACGACATAGACGTAGCCAAAAAGCTGTCAGTAGTAAAAGATTTCAAACGCAAAAAAATTAAATTAATTCAAAATTAATCCAACCAGACAACACAAACCCAAAAACCCACTTACTTCTTGAAAAAGCCCACTAATCTTCTCCACCCAGCTCTTCAGTATCCTAATTTTATTTGAGTTGTATTTAAAAATCCGGAAGCATTAGTCGGTTGCATTTACATCAACAATTACATCCGGTTTCATAATGAAAACAAAAGCATGAAATTCCTTCAAAAAACCAACAATTCTTTAAGTCCATGAACGATGCTGAAATGTTTTTGTGGAGAAGGCACAATTTTGTACCTAAAAGAGCACTTAATACTCGTGAAATGAAAGCAATTTTGTGGTTAAAATTCTTCATCATACAGATAAAGTTTTTCGTCCGCAAAACTGAAAAGTTTTGAAAATTGAGGCACATCAGCAATATCAGTTACGCAACGAAAACTCAATTTTCACTTTAATTTCACCTTTCTCCCATCCATTCATTGTTGTTGACTAATTTGATTTTGCTCGGATGCTTGGGTTTATTTACTCCCTCCATTCTGTGTCGCAATTCAATTTATAATGAAGAAAACCAGGAAAAGAAAAATACTTGAAAAGGTTTATGGTCTCATTTACTATCGTTCTTATCCCTCCCCATTCTAATTTTTATTTTCTTTTTTTAACAACCTTCTTAGCATCACCTGCAGTCATTGATCTACGTAGAACTGAGATGTGAATGAATACAGAAAAAAGGGATACATTTTAAAATATTCAAAGTATACCCCAATGGTAAGAATATAAATTGGTTGAATAAGCACTGCTTGGTGGGGTGATTTGAGCGCATAATGTAATATCCGAATGACTACTGCTTCTTTAGAAGTTGAGGCTTTAATGACCAAAACCCTGAATGAGCTTTGTGCTTATAAAATTGAAATTCTTTACAACTATTTATAAAATGCTTGTTCAATCAATTTTATGGCTAGTTTTTGCTGATTAATGAAATAATTAATTCACTCTGTCGAACTACGATCGGAGCATAAAATTAAATTATGTCCGTTGTTCAATTAGGCATTCATGTAGATCTGTATTCTAGGTCAAATGAATGAATATTAGATGAAAATGAAATCAGATTTTGGGAAATGTGCCTTACATTTTAACAATTAGACTCAAAACTATTGTCAATTTTTAAACTTCAACTAAATGAAATCGGCAAACCGCTACAACCTTTTAAGCACACCTTGGATAAGTTTTATTCAGTCAAGTTTTGTGCATATTTTACACACGCACACACATATTGCATTCTAACACAATAAGGCAAAGGAAATGGAATAAAAAGCTTCATTGGACTCGAAGCTTTGAATAATTCAAACATAAAGAAATGGAGAATGTTGTTTAGAACAAAATGTATAAAAGCAGACACAACATATCAGAGGCACAGCTGGGTTAAGTTCTGTTAAATGCAGAGGAGAAGGCAGGTCAACGATTTTGAACAAAAAGAAAGAAAACTTTCAAAAAATAAACTTACAATAGTTGTCTTGTAAGTACGCGGGCAGGATATGTCCAATCGACTTGAAACTCAGCCTGAATATCGTCCTAATATAGGTTATTTTAGGTCATCAATCAAAAATTTTCGGCCAGGCTTAGTTCTTTTGATGCAACATGTTCCATTTTGTACAGCCAAAAAATTGGAAATTCACGGGCGACGTTTCATAAATCCAATAGGGTTCCTAAGTGTTTTATGGATTCTGATAATTTTTAAATATTCTAGAAAAGCAAATGATTAAGACAAAGAGTCAAGTTTTTGACCTCCAATGGATGCTGCACCCCTGCTACACCACATACACACATTCACAAAAATATAGTCCAAATAACTCATTTAGCAGATTATTTGCCATTCCATTCCTTCTCCTTTCATTTTTCTTTGTGACGTCCGCAGATAAAAAGAAAAACCACATTTGGGATAGTTAATTAATTAAACGAAGGAGAAATGTAAACGGACACAAAAAAGAGACACAGAGAAAAAAAAAGTCAAGTGAAACCTCACACTGTGTACTTATGTCAAAGCAATGCTTTTGGTTCTTTCTGCAGCACACGAATTATTTTTTAACCAATGGCTCATCATGCCAGATGAGAGTGAAGCTCGAAAATTTCCCACAATGATGAATGAAAGAAAAACGTGAAAAATTACAACAATTTGCATATAAATTTCATCATTGTCTGTATACATTATGCAACCATGAGTTACGAGCCCTGAAGTAACAGGAACGAAAGAAAAAAAAATCACTAATGAACAGCGCTACGACAAATGGAAAAGAATTTTTCTGTCTAAATAATTAGAACAAATTATCATTTTTTTTGCTGTGTACACAGAGAAATGAGAAAAAAGCGAAGGACGAAGCTCTTTAATGATGAAAATGAAGGAATGACAAAGTTGAATAATTCTGATAAAAAAAATTGTGTTAAGTTTAAGGGTATGAGGGATGGTTTTGGCGCAGTTTCTAAAAATAATATGTGAAACTTTTTTGATTTGAGTTTATTTTTGGACTTGAAGTCAGGTGTTTTACGTCAATTAAGGTAATTAATGCACTGTTGGACTTTTTTAACGTAGGTGTGTAAAATATATATTCATGAAGTTCAACGTGATTTTCTT